CTCAAAAAGCTAAGTAAATGCAATACGGCTTTTAATACACAATAAAAGAAATATTTAAGAATTCATCTAAAATGAGAGGCTGGAAAGAATGTAAAACGTTATAATGCAACTTGATAACAGAAACTTGAATTAACACATGACAGTAAGGTGAAAAACRTCTGCTTGGGAAAAAGATGTGACAAGTTTCGAACCTCAGACCATTTTTTGATGTGATCCTTATTCCATGTTACTATYGGAGCCAGCTTCTGTAGGAATTAASTAGGCAGATGAGTTAAAGAGATCAAGTTATTCATCTTATATCTTCCTGTTCCTTTTTTTATTCCTCCTCCTCCACCTCAAAATGTATCAGTTGGTCTACTAAAATGCATTATCTCTCCTGATACACCATATCACTTTTGTATCTTCAAACAATCAGAGTTGGAACCATATCTTTACTATTTCTCAAAAAGAATCAGGTCTCTGCTAAGGCTCTCTTGGTTGTGTAACGACATTAAAAAGAGACCTGAATACACTACAAAAATCTAATCCTAATAATCATTATTTCCTCAAAATAAAATCAGACAAAAGCTCTGGAGATTATACAATTATAGAGATTATACATTCTTCCTCTCTATCCTACTTGATAAATTTTGTATCTTTGAGATGACAAATTCCAGATGTGTTTATCACATAGAATATAGTGTATATGTGCATTACCTACTGGTATAATACAATTCCTGTTTTTCGTGTAATCCTCTCAAAGATATTTCTAATAATGCCATCAGTTCWCTGTGATATTTGTTCTTAAATTCCTCACAACTAATTTTTCCAGGACCARTATAATCTTTTCCTAGTGCATCAACACTAGGCACAAGTGCTTGATTGTGTGCAATTTTTGGTGGGATGTTCAAGAAAAATAACAATTATTTTGAACTGTAAAAACCTCCAGTTCTGGTGTTATTAGCAAATTGTTGTAATTTATCATACATAAACACATTTCTATWTTTCTTTTTCCGAATTCTCAAATCACTGCTCCTACAAACACCTTCTAAGGACATTCTAGCCCAGAAGTAATTGGGCACCTGAAGCGCTGTCTATTTAAAATGTAATCTGGATGTGACCCTTGACTGTCCAATTTCCGGTTCTACAGAGACGGAATTTAGCAAAATTGTAGAGGGTGTTGTAAGGGCCACGGTTGAAGTTAATAGGAAACAAACTCGGGCCAATAAAGAGCATTATCTAGAAATAGACAGCAGCCTGTGACATGTATATAATTAGAGAAATAGGAGGCTTTGCCCATGAGACCATGTGTTCCACAGCAAATCCTATTTCCTTCATTCTCTCTTTCATAGTTATTGTCAGAGTAATCATTGTGTGATTATAGCCCCTACGTAAAACATATCAGTTTCTTTTTGTTCTTTCCAATATTGGTGTTAATTGAATTCACTGAACAAATGACTAAAGAAATCCACAGCTCAGATCTTATCAGACCAACTGACTTGCAAGTCTCGAAACCATATAAGGACACCAAAAGGCCAAATTCTATATCATATAGGCTTTCTACATGCTGGCCCTTTCCTCCCAGAAATATAAAATATTAGCTATTTCTTTTGTTATTTCCAGGCTAAAAAAGTGCAAAATTAAAATGACAACATAAAATGAATGAAGTCTAAATTGCAAGGAGAAAGTTCATTTATTAACTTCCAAGGAAAAAAATAAAAGTTCTACTGGAATGTAGGCGGAAAAGTGCATTCCAAATAAAACACATTTATCATAAAATTATAAAAATAGTCTTAAAAGATTAGAGCTCCCACTGCTATTCAACACAAGCGAGTTCTATTTCCTGACCTTCTTTCTGTAGCACATCAGTAACCTAACACATACATAACAGGAGGAAGGAAGCAATCAGTCTGAAAAAGACTTATGTATCATAGCGAACAACAAATTAGGCATGAGTTTCCATAGCGATAAAGCAATAAAAGGCTGCTGCAATATTTGGTTGTCTACAGCAAGACAGTAGTGGAGTAAAGAGACTAGATTTCCTTCTGCTTACATTGGGGGGGTTAGTGTACATTAACTGATACTGGTGCACTGGTGTCGATGCTAAATTCTGCTTCCACATTTTGAAGAAAATACTGAAGGAACTGGGAGAGGAATAAAAGCAAGTAGTTCTGTGAGGAGGAAAACCATTAAGTCCTATGGATTTGGATTTCATGGATGGATTCTTTGCTATTTTAAAAATGCAAATTGCAAACAGTAGTTTTTCCTGGGCATCTCCTTTGTGGATTCTCTGATGTTTAATAAGAAATGATCTCATAGTTCTGCCTTTCTGCCAGTGGGAGCACTAATGGGGTCTCCAGCCCATCTGGCAGCCAGCTTTCCTGAAAGTTACAGGAATTTCTGCCCGTTGGGGTTGAAACTGGCCAACAGTCAAAAAGCTACTGAGGGATAAAGGAGAGGAAAAAGATTGGCAGCCACACATAAATCTAGGCAGACAAGTATAACATAGACAGTGTGATCATACAAACCTTGTTTCCCAAGGAAACTTGGCTAATTATCAAAGGGCTGCAAAGATTCACTTATGATGAAAGTCCAAAGGCCCCAAAGTAGAAAAACACTTTAAGCTAAAGTGCTTTACTGGATAGAGCACTAAAGGAACTGAGCATGATACCTGGGTTGAGAGACAAATGTWGAGGAATGCACAGAAACATAGATGTTAACCAAGGATGAGGAGGAATTATTTGTATCAAGAGGAGCTACTGTTAAACAGAATTATAGCCAGGAATGATGGGATTAAATAAAGGAAACTTTAAGATAAACATCAAGAAATATCCTCAGTAAGATCAGAGTCCATGAAAGAGTTTCTGGATGTAGATAGTAGAAGCCCCATTGTATGAGACAATTAAACCTGGACAGGGAGATCAACAGAAAAGCTCTATAGGTCTCTTTCCAGTTCCCACTCTTTGATTCATGGTACAGAATCACAAACTAAAAAACATTACAAAAACTGCACTACAGCTTGGTAACGCATTTTTAAAAATCAWATATATATACAGTACAATTATGTTTTAATGTTCATATAATTGTTGTCTTTATATTGTTTCATATTCTTTCAATTTTTTTTACCTGTTTGTCCACTGTTATGTGTCAGTTACTGGTCTAATGCAACAGGAGAAAAATGTTTAATTCAGATAAAGGAAGAATGTCTTGTTTTTTAGTGATAGATAGCTTTTAGTGATAGAAAGCTATCTGTGGATAGATAGCTTTTTTGTAAGCAGAAGCATAAATGTGAAATACCAAACAAGACTGTAGAGATTCTGATAATAAGGAAAAAAATCTTCAACACATTTTCAAATATATGTAGATTACTTAAGAAAATGAAGTTGAAAAAGGAACAATAAGAAAGAAATGTAATATATACAATATATAAAAACTGTAATGTAGCCACTAGCTGTAGCTAGTAACTGTAGCTATTCCTGTTGATTCTTTAACATAAATGGCAGAAACTAGACCTGAGATGTAAAAATGGATAGATTTGTTTTCCTAGCATATCACCTAATGCTATATTAAAAATAAGTATCATATGATACAGATAATTCCTTCATTTAGAGTTAGTAAGATATGTACGCTCACAAACTATCAAAATTACTTGACCATTAGGGTAATACTCATGCTATACCAAATGGTACATTTTTATAATTTTCTAGTAAAACATGAAAAAAAACAATCAAAATGCACAACTATGTCTTACAGTGTGTTTGATGTAGCAATTTTTAACATTCATTTAATACAACTGAGCTGCAATGACTAATACTTCCACTGGCCGCTAGTACAAAGACCTAAATAAGGTTCCAGACTAGATTACATTCATGCAGGTCTCATTTTAACGGAAATTGGAGAGATGAAAAAAAGATTACAGGAAGACACATTATAAAAACAGACCTCACAAGTCAAACTTAATAGTGAAACCATTCTCTTTCATGTAGACAACCATGAAAACAAATATCCTGTAAGCACTAGATATATATTGTATCTTTCTACCAGATCTCTTTGCCTCCTTGAGACAGATTCCCATTCATCTCATGACTATATAATTTGATCATAGTTGACTAAGACACAGCAGGGGGAAGGGTCTGTCTGATAAAATATCAGGCGCCAGGAAGATAGATAAACAATTTCATGATTTCCAGTTGTAACAGGAATGGTATAGTGGTGGATACAAAGATATTAATTTCATAGGAATACAAATATCAAGCCTCCGCAATTTTTTTCTCGTACTAAATACACTTTTTCCATTAACTGAAAATGACAATCTGATTAGGATAAACTAACACTGAGTGGCAGARTAATACACAGGGTGCATGTGAGAAGTGAAATGAAATCTTTGTTGATCTGCCAATGTGCAAGCTGGTACAGAACATTTTTTAAGTTTAAGTGAAAAAATGAAGACAAAGATTTTTCTTTCCTGTGGAGTGTTTTGAAATCAAAGAAAGAATACTTCAAAGTGAGTGAAGCAGTTGCTTATCGAGTCATTTCACATTTAAAGATAAAACTCATCTTTCACGAGGTCAGACTGGTAAAACAATTCTTTTGCTGTATGGCACAAGAGTAATGTCTGTCTGTGACTCCACCTCATTAAGTTCCAGAGGCAATAAATGAAAGTTTGAGTGATAATATTTGAAKAGTTATTATGAGTTCCTTTATATATTAACACATATTTTTTGTACATATTAACACAGATACATATATGTCATATATTACCAATCCAAATCATGTTAAGTGGCAGTGGTTACATTCCCTTTGGAGATACTTCCTGTGTTGGGTAGCTGAAGAACATGTGACATTCAGTCATGATGACACTTGACTTATCAAAGTTTAAAGGACAGAATCATATTTTATAGTAAGTTGTTAGTAACAAACACTACACGACTTCTTTTTTTCTTTATTAAAGAGAATACTTCATATTCTGGAGCAAACACCTTTTTAAAGCCATCATACTGTTTAATTTAATATGTACATACCTGAGATTCTTTTACATTTTCAACAGTGAAGTTGAACCAAACTCGAAAGCGTGGGTTACAGGTATCTGGTCTAATGAACAGGTCATACTCAAACTCTGTGATGTGGTCCACTCGTCCAAGGTTACCTACCAAAAACATATAAGAAGGAATGCATTTTACAGGATGGCTGATAGGCTCCGTAACACCAATGACACTTGGAAAAGTTTAATTTTTTTTTACCTTGGTAAAAGAAATGGTTAAAATATTAGACATACATATAGCTTTTTAACAGTTCAGAATCATTTTTAAAAGACTCAGTCACTACCACAAAATAAAATACAAACCAGTAAGCCATGTGCATATGAAGATACCAATAAGGCAACATGGAAGTCTATTATCCAGTCAAATTGACTATTTGTCCTGTCAAGTCCATCTCTTCCAGTAAGTGTTTGAGTTCCAGGGTTCTGTCCCCATTGCTGAAGCTTAGAGCAGCCCTCTCACCCATCGTCATATTTTGCCTTTACCTTTTGGTGCCACTGTCACTCCTTTCCACAATAACATATGAGGCTCTAACATTTAGTTTCCTCTCTCTCCGGTGGCTTTCATGAAATAATGTTTTTAAGCACAGTCAGAGCTACATCATCCCCACTGAGATTTTTCAACCAGCAGCCGCACTGGTTACAAAAATGAACTTCGGCACTGGGAAAACTAGCTAAGTGCTTTTAAATTGTTAAATTGGCATGTTTCCTCTGAAGTATTCCAAGCTTTTTAAAGGTGAGGGTTAGATTGTCCATTTTATTTCTACACTACCAAAATAGGACTACTTTTTCCTAATCCAGCCCAAAACCGTCTCATCAGATAGTATAACAAAAAGAGAGATCTATGCTCTATCTTAAATGCTAAAGTAAACAAATTATCATTGCACAGTGACTGTTCTTTATGAATTGAGATATATTTTTATTTCAACATATATTTGGGGTTGAATATATATTTGGGTTCAAAGAATTGCTTATCATGCTACTTGAGCTCCCTGCTCACCAAGTCCTCTTCRAGTCAGTGAGATTGTCCATTGGTTAATGTGCTTCTCTGTGTGAGCAACAGTAACTAAATCTGGCTCATGGGCTGTTTGGGGTGGAAAAGAGGCAGGAAAAAAACATTTTCAGCTCTGCTCATCAATATGTTTTCAGATTTCTTCCTTATTCTAAAATGTGTCTGGCTTCGCTAATTGCRCAGTGAACATTTTTAATCTTCCCTATTTTTAATGCTATCCTCTTTACTTTCCTACCCACATTCTTTTTCTTAGAATAAAATTCTCTTAACTGGTTCCCTCTGCAGAAAACCATTTCATGCTAACAATCTGTTCCTAAACACTTGCCTAAAGGATACGTTTGGAATATGAAATATTTGAAAAATTTGAACTATTTTGCAGCTATTCACCTTTGCCAAATATAAATATAAATAACATAATCTGCCTGACTGCGGGTTAAGGCCCCTCCTCATCAAAGCACACTTTCTGCCACAGGGTCAATTCTATCACTGTTATTCACAATAAGAAAACCAGAATCTTCATGTAAATTATGGCTTCCTACAGATGACTGCTGAATATAAACAAAAGCAGTAAAATGAAGCTATTGCACTGTAATGCCTTTAATTAAAGGACTTTTTTTAATGTGTTTTTCCATTAAAATGTCATGCTCATTTGACATTTTGGGGAAAATGACATTCCTCCTCTTTCTGAGAATTTCTGTGGTCTGAACTGGCTAATTTTGGAGTTTGGATAGCAACTGCAGAGCCTGCCTCGCAGGTCACTAGGAGATAATAACACAGATAAGTCTCAGGTCCAAGCTGCCTGGACATAGTTTCCTGGATCGCCTGGGGTCCCTTAACCCCGACTTGTGCATGGGACAGTGGTGGGTCATCTAAGACTAAGGCAACAGCCTGGGTGAACATCCACTGTGGAACCWGTACCACCTGTGAGTTGCTGTACATACCTACCCCAAACTCGAGGCCAGTAATTCCTCATACAGGGAATATTTTTGACTGCATTATTTTTGAGTAAGGAAATAAAAGCTCATTGATATTATTTTATTAGTTCAAAGATCATTAGTAAAAAGTCCTGTAACACACGAGGAACCAAAAGATTATTAAGTGAATAAATAAATACACACAAGAATAGCCATGCCTTGATTTGTGACCTATTGCATATTTCAACATCAGATTGGCCTGAACTGGAAGGGGAGCAGATGGTCCATTCAGAACTACCTCCGAGTCCATAAGATCCTTAAACTTTCAACTGAAGATTCTACTGATGTTAGTGAATTCCCTAACATATTGATGTTAGTGAAATGTAGCACTGGGATGTGGGAACCACAGCTAGCCACTGTACTCTACAAAAGCTATAAACCTATCACAGACCCAGCAGAACTTTCAGCAATTCAGCCACTGAATGCAGGATTCCCCAGGAGTCACAAGACTCTTTTCTCTCTTTATCTGTAAGAGTTGATTTCAACAGTCCCCTTCTTGTAGATGCATTTATTTTTCCTCCTGTGATTTTATTACTTTTTGCCCGTGGAACTGCCTCCAACCAGGCTCCTTCACAGTATGTCTCAGCTGCCAGAGGCACCTGCAACCGTTTGCAGTTCAGCATCATTTGGACATTTCATTCGCGCACTATTTCTTTGCTTTCTCCCAGATGCTGAGCAGCCTGCACCCAATGCTAATGCCTTTGGTTACCACTCAACAAGTTCCTCACGCTCAATAGACTATTGTTTGGAATATCACAGCCTTTACTTCACAATCTGTCAACCTAATTGCAACCCACTTAGCAATGTCATTAAACAAGTCAGCAGATTTTGGTACAAAAAAAAAAAAAGAAAAAAAGAAAAAGCCTAATACTGCAGGAAAAAACACTTCTTCACCTTAAGAGATACCTTTTAGAAAGCAGATAAYGCCATTAAAGAACATTTTTGGTGTCGAAGAGAAAGAATCAACTTGCCAATGTTAATCTCTTAATAAAGTTRGCAGTTTTACAGTGCTGCCTTCACACTGCTGTAATCATGGGAAATGGTTTTATTCTAACGTGTGAGACATATTCCAGGCTTACAAGGCTAAAACGGTGAAATGCATTAAAAACCGTTAAAAATGAGTTGAAAGTAGGTTACACTCTTCTATCTGTCCATCATATATTTCAATATTTTAAATAATACTGGATAAAATACTGAAAATAAGCAGTTTTTCCTCAGGTAAAAGCATCTTCTGAACAATTTTTACTTTCTGAATATTTTTAAAAGGGTTTCCTGATATTTGTCTGCTTTTTGATAAAAGCTGAGCAAAACAGAAAACTAGTTAATGATTAGGATATATACATTCTACTTTACAGTGAACAGAGGTGAACATTTTCTGTACTGAAATGATAATAAATTCAAAAGGAAGCTGGATAAGACCAATCTTGTGTGATATACCACTACTTTTTATTTCCAGGACCACTACTTTAAGACTTTTCTCATTCACATTTTTTATTCAGTGTGCATTGCTCGTTTGGTAGTTAAACAAAATGGTTACAAGCAGAGGGGCATAGTCTGTTTGTAACCATTTTGATTCTGTTAAAATAAAATTGTAAAGTTACTAAAGCAGCAGACATTATTTTTTTTTGGGTTCACACCTGCATGATAGCATCACGTCATCCAACAAGTGCAAGAGACCTGTGTCATAAGAATAGATTTATTTTAAGTAAACCCACTCTGTAGTTTGTGTTTTGCCTTATATCTTTGAGTTAATGCTGCAAAACATAAGATATTAATAATGTTATTTAAAATACATGTAAAATTAATGAACTGATCGAGTAATGAGATCTGCCTGGGAAGAAAGACCAACGACATGACAAGCAGCATCTAAACTTGTTGGCATTTTAAGACATTCCTTGCAGAAGGATTGGGTGCATTCACGGCTGTAAAATGGCTGAGTAATTCTTATAAGTAAAACAAACAACTTTTAGGGTAGCTGGCACTTTACAAAATATTATGGATTTGTTCTCATGTGCAATCTGATGTTTTTTTCCTGCTATTATTTCACTATACAGAAATAATGGCATAGATCTTTTTAAAATGATGGAAAGATGTGAACCAACCAGATTCCCAAATGTCTATAAACTGACTTTCCCTTGGCCTTGGGGTTTGTTTTTAACACTCAATTTTCAGTCACAGTCCTATTCGATATTCTTAGCAAACTGAGCACAAAGGAGACAGACCTTTTATTCAATCATTTGACTTAAAATTCTTAAGTATATTTGATTAAATTGCTTTCCTGAGAAATATATAGCACAATACTTTCAAAACTGGCATAGTGGAAGGGGTCRATAGTATGTTTCAAGTTTCTTTAAAAGTCATGGAAAAAGAAAACAATGTTACTATTTTATTAATCATGCAACATACACTCACTCCTCATAAAATATTAATGTATATTACTTCCTACATCAATAAAAAGTGTACTTTACATGAAGAAAGAAAATCTGCTGAAGAAWATGCTGGCTAAAGTTACTAAGCACCCTAATAATTATCATAAAAATGCAAGAAAATAAAATATAGATATGTTAAGCAATCCTAAAATCTTCTTAAACCACACATTGTGCTTTCCTACAGAGTATTTTAAGATGAAAAATAGACCTTGAGGGTCTTAGRCAAGCCTGAGGCAATATAAAGAAAAAGGTCAAATACTCTGCTAAAAAGGACCGTTATCTTCAGAACAACAACTTATCAGCCAGCTTGCAGCCCTGCTTATTTACAGTTATTGGTCCCAGAGGAAGTGCACTTCAGTGCAGGGCRCGATTACTTTGTAATGAGTTTGCCAGAAATGGTAAAGGAAACTAATTTGTAACAATGTGCTGTTCCCTGCACATGAACTTTCTCAGACACTTTTTTTCTTTTTTTTTTTTTCATCTTTTCTTTTTTTTTTTTTTTCTTCTTTTTTAGAGGGGGGATGTCCAGCCATGAATAACTAACTTCAGCCTCCCTAATAAGCAGCGAAAACAGAAGTGCACCAAAACCAACCGAGTTGCAAGCATGAATGTGCTGAAATATCCGTGATTATCCCTCTCAGCTGTCCATTACAGTACTCATGATGACCACCAATTCCCCTGTGGTGGATCCAT